TAAGATCTTTATTACTAAATATAAGACCACCCTTGAAGTTCCACCCATTTTTTCTCTAAGTGCTCCCGACATGTCCTTTCCGAATCGCCTGTGTGTGTGTGTGAGTAAGCGGAATGAACGGTAATCCGTCGTGTTTTGAATAACAAAATTTCCCGTACGAGATTGTTGCACACTGGAATTCGCCCGGACCGCTAACAAACCGCAAGCAATGTCAAGTGGCACGAGGTGGAAACAAAAGACACAGGCAGCAACTACGAAAAAAAAATGCCGTGTCCTGGGCCACGCCCAAACCCAAAACCGCACTCACACTGGTGAAAGTTCCCTTTTTGTGTCCCCAAAAAACCCAACAAAAAATAAATAAAGAGGAACACTCAAAGGATAAGGTATATCCTGGCCACAAGTCGCGCACGCACATTTCGCACAAATTCTCGTCGAGTTTGTCAATAAAAGTAAAGAACCCTCCAGCCTTTAGGCCAGCTGCCATTGCGTGACAATCGGCACCTGGTCTCAAACACACACGCTTGAAAAGAAGCCCCAATAATTGATCATAACATAATTCCAAGCTTATCAAATAGAAATCATTTAGTTTTATTTTAAATTTATTTATTGTATTTATCTATCAAGTGGGAGAAAATGTACTTTTATATAAAACCATTAGGCCAATTGGTCTTTTCAGCTTAAACTCTGTTTGTTATTCCTCAGTTTTTTATCTTGGATGTGTGCTTTCTTTTAAAACCATGTTCTTTGATTTTTTATTATTAATAAGACAATCTTTATATGCTTTTAATTTTCGATTTAAAAAGAACAGTTTAAGCAGGAAAAATAATTTGTTTACTTTAAGTCTCATGAAGCAGAAAGCAAATGAATATAAGAAATTGGTAACACAGTAATTTCTTGACAATGATTTATTATAAGTTCATAATTAGTTTAACTTAATCAATTTTTACTAATAAAATCGTAATAATCCAAAACGACTGGAAATCAAATGCTAAATTAAACATACCTTCTAGTTATTCTTTTCAAAAGGGTATCGCTATCCTCGATTTTTCTTCACCGCAGGATGTTTAAACTGTGCTCTTCGGCTTTTCAATTTCATACTCCATTCGTTTTCATCTGGCGCGCTTTCCCTTTCTGGCCGCCCAGCTGTCTGTCCGCTTTTCCCAGTCCCGCCTGCCGTATTAATGGCATTTATTATTTTCTCGTTACACGTTGACTTTTGTGCGGCAATTTCTCAAACCGAACGCGTCGTTCGCCGGAGAAGCAACAAACGATAACAGCTGACAAGGATAAAGTGCAAGCGCTGTCATCTCATCGGGATTCTGGAGTCGGGTGTGGAGAGTTGAGCCAAACACAAGTAGTTGCCACCTGGACATGGCCGTCCTATGAGATCCTGATCGGAGTCTGAGTCTGGGCCCTCGACTTCGGATTTGGCCTGGCCAGGCAGTTTTTCTTCATTTCGGCAAATCTGCTGGGCCAGCGATAAAGCACTTGGCACCGCGCCTTGTTTGGCCTTTAAATTTAAATTTATAACACCCACAAGTCGCGCCGCCTCGCTGGGGAAATGGGTCGCGCTTAGTTAATTGGACTGGCTGATGAATTGTTGAGCCGTTGGCAAATTAACCCTCATCAGGTTCGGAGGGGTCGCCCGCCCCCTGCGTATCCCTCCTGCACTCCTGCACACATGAACACGCACGTAGGACAGGTGTCGGGGCAGATAAATTGCGGCTGATATATTTTTTACACAAACGAAAAAGAAAATGAAAGTACTTCTCACTTCCTGAGGTAAATTTAATTTTTAGGTGAAACGGAATTGCCTAGCAATTACAGTTTTATCTCTAGCTTTCTTGGATTGAATTAAATCTATTATTGCTTCACCTTGCTATTTCCAAACACATTCTAGTCCTTTGGGCAAAGAAGTCATGGATAACAGCTTTCACCGGAATAAATCGGAACCCAATAACAGGAATTAAGGAATATAGAAATGCAGCTTTAGGGAACCCCATTCTAAAAGCCAATGGATGGATACATGAGTATGGGCTAAAAATTAGACCCTTGTTAAAAATATAGATTTTAATTTAGAATATTAGATAATTCAACCACAAATTCTTAGAGGCATCCCACGTCTAAATCGGCATCCAACAATACAAGTTATGGAATCTAGAAGTCCAGTTTTCAGTTCGGATTATGAAGGCCATTGGAAATATGAAAAAACCAAACATGAAAATGGGCTAAAATTTGGACCCTCCGTAGAAAGATAGATTTTGATGTAGAATATAAGAGAATTCAACCACAAATTCAAAAAGGTATCCCACATTAAAATCGGACTCCAGTAACTCAAGTTATGGAATTTAGAAGTCCAGTTTTGGGTCCCCTTTCTGACAGCCATTGGAATTACGGAAAAATCGAACATGAAATAGACTAAAATTTGGACCCTCGTTAAACAGAAAGATTTGAATGTAGAATATAAGAGAATTCATCCACAAATTCAAAAAGGTATCCCACATTAAAAGTGGACTACAGTAACTCAAGTTATGGAATTTAGAAGTCCAGTTTTGGGTCCCCTTTCTGACAGCCATTGGAATTACGGAAAAATCGAACATGAAAATGGACTAAAATTTTGACCCTCGTTAAAAAGAAAGATTTGAATGTAGAATATAAGAGAATTTAACCACAAATTCAAAAAGGTGTCCCACATTAAAATCGGACTACTGTAACTGAAGTTATGGAATTTAGAAGTCCAGTTTTGGGTCCCCTTTCTGACAGCCATTGGAATTACGGAAAAATCGAACATGAAAATGGACTAAAATTTTTACCCTCGTTAAAAAGAAAGATTTGAATGTAGAATATAAGAGAATTCAACCACAAATTCAAAGAGGTATCCCACATTAAAATCGGACTACAGTAACTCAAGTTATGGAGTTTAGAAGTCCAGTTTTGGGTCCCCTTTCTGACAGCCATTAGAATTACGGAAAAATCGAACATGAAAATGGACTAAAATTTGGACCCTCGTTAAAAAGAAAGATTTGAATGTAGAACATAAGAGAATTCAACCACAAATTCAAAAAGGCATCCCACATTAAAATCGGACTACAGTAACTCAAGTTATGGAGTTTAGAAGTCCAGTTTTGGGTCCCCTTTCTGACAGCCATTGGAATTATGGAAAAATCGAACATGAAAATGGACTAAAATTTTACCCTCGTTAAAAAGAAAGATTTGAATGTAGAATATAAGAGAATTAACCACAAATTCAAAAAGGTGTCCCACATTAAAATCGGACTACTGTAACTGAAATTATGGAATTTAGAAGTCCAGTTTTGGGTCCCCTTTCTGACAGCCATTGGAATTACGGAAAAATCGAACATGAAAATGGACTAAAATTTTTACCCTCGTTAAAAAGAAAGATTTTAATGTAGAATATAAGAGAATTCAACCACAAATTCAAAGAGGTATCCCACATTAAAATCGGACTACAGTAACTCAAGTTATGGAGTTTAGAAGTCCAGTTTTGGGTCCCCTTTCTGACAGCCATTAGAATTACGGAAAAATCAAACATGAAAATGGACTAAAATTATGACCCTCGTTAAAAAGAAAGATTTGAATGTAGAATATAAGAGAATTCAACCACAAATTCAAAAAGGTATCCCACATTAAAATCGGACTTCAGTAACTCAAGTTATGGAATTTAGAAGTCCAGTTTTGGGTCCCCTTTCTAAAAGCCATTGGAAATACGAAAAAATTGAACATGAAAATGGGCTAAAATTTAGACCCTCCGTAAAAAGGTAGATTTATATTTAGAATATTAGAGAATTCAACCACAAATTCACAGAGGTATCCCACGTCTAAATCGGGATCGTATAACTCAAGTTATGGAATTTGGAAGTGCAGTTTTGGGCTCCCATTCTGAAAGCCATTGGAAATACTGAAAAACCAAACATGAAAATGGGTCAAAATTTGGACCCTAGTTGAAGAGAATATTTAAATGTAGAACATTAGAGAATTCAATCACAAATCCATAGAGGTATCCCACTTCTAAATGGGATCCTACAACTCAAGTTATGGAATCTGGAAGTGAAGTTTTGCGTTTCGATTGCGAAAGCCATTGGAATTACAAAAAAACCGAACATGAAAGTGGGCTAAAATTTTGACCCTCCGTAAAAAGATAGATTTAAATGTAGAATATTAGAGAATTCAACCACAAATTAATAGAGGTATCCTACGTCTAAATCGGGATCCAACAACTCAAAATCTGGAAGTTTCGGCCTTCCATTCTTAAAACCTTGAAATACAAAACAAGAAGAACGCTATAGTCGAGTACCTCGACTATCAGATACCCGTTACTCAGCTAAATGGAGATATGCAAGCAGCAAAGCGAGATTAAAATGCGCACCTACCGGCGGTATACAGATTTAAGCGTTATGGGCGTTAAAGTGGGCGTGGCAAACTTTTTTTGAGTCAATCGATAGTAATGACGAGACGAATACATTTCAGTTAAAATTTTTATCTAGCATAAAAATTGTGGGCGTCACAGGTTTTCGCGGTTTGTGGGCGTTAAAGTGGGCGTGGCAAACTTTTTTTTAGGTCAATCGATAGGTATTGATGAGAACATTACATTTCAGTTAAAATTTTTATTCTAGCATCAAAACTGTAGGAGCCACAGTTTTGGGCGGTTTGTGGGCGTTAGAGTGGGCGTGGCAGTCTACTGAAACAAACTTGCGCTGCGTAAGAAGCTCAGGAATCTGCACGCCAAATCTCAATAGCCTAGCTCTCATAGTTTCCGAGATCTCAGCGTTCATCCGGACAGACGGACAGACGGACAGACGGACATGGCTAGATCGACTCGGCTAGTGATCCTGATCAAGAATATATATACTTTATGGGGTCGGAAACGCTTCCTTCTGCCTGTTACATACTTTCCGACGAATCTAGTATACCCTTTTACTCTACGAGTAACGGGTATAAAAGTGGAACATGAAAATTTGTTAAAGTCTGACTATTGACAGCTTCAGCTCAGAATTAACTTTCAAAAACACACGTAGTACACTCATATCTAAATTAGAGATGACCATAGAAATATGCGTGATAATGTTTCTATTACTGTGTTATGCGGGACGTCCAGGACTAGCGGAGCACGGGGTAAATAAAACCGATCCAAAATGTGCGAACTGCAAGGACATTCAGTCAAAATGTACCGTATCCAAATCTGGCTTGTTCTGCACAAACAAAACGGATAAGCTAAAGGTTCAGTTTGCAAAGGGAAGACATGATAGTACCTACGATTTAAGCGAGTGTGTACCGGAAAAGTACACCGTTACGGGTATGTAAACGTAGATCAAACAATGAAAAGTGAAAATAATTTGACTGATATGTCGTATAGGTCCGATTTCGGACTGGTGCTGCCTATGGTCGCCGAAGATTGGCTGCCAGCAAGTGGCCGGAACCACCTACCAAAACCAATCGGAGTGGGAGAACACCTGCGATATATGTCTGCATTCCTGTATCTGCGACGAGGACCGTGAGAATGGGGTGGTCAAAGCCTCACCCTTCAATGGTGGACTCTGGGTATTCTGGTTCCTTTGTCGAGGTCATATCTACAGTCTTGAGAATCGCTGCTTTGCATATCACCGAGGAAATTCAATAAAGATGTGTCTGCATGGGGAATTTCGAGTGGCCGGTCACAGACCGAAAAACAAAGTGGCCATTGCACTAAGCCAAGGCGCATACAAATCAAGTCAACAATGGATTCGCCACAGTTCCCAAAAGGCACAGAGCACATGACTCTGGGCCAAAAGAAAGGCGAGGGAATAGGATATTGTTTCTGTTTGTTTTGCCCAAGTACCAACAAGAACCAGTGTTGTCCCGATATTCAGAAGGAAATAGGATAAAGAGAACCAGTTTAAGATAGGAGACCAGCATTGGAATTATCCAGAAAATTTTAGAATGAAATGTAAATCTGTACATAATTATAATTCGCTAAAGAAATATCTTGCATCCAAATTCAACCGATTCACAACTTTTGGTGGAATTTGGTTGCAAGAAATTTCCCTAGCAAATAAATTTAAAAGCATTGGTTTTAATATCTTGAATACTACTAAGGTTTTCCAGCAGCTCAAACCCAAGGAATAAAATAGGTATACCCCTAGTATTGTCTGAATAAAAATAGTTGATATTGGTTACGTTTTAACCTGCTTTATTTTTAGCAGTGATCCCAAAAAATGATCAACTCGAGGCGTCATTGTTTCCTGCCTTCTATATACGTTCCGAATCTTCAATCCATCGGGTGTAAGCATATACAAACACGAGTGCAGATGGCCAAAAATGGAGCAAGCGTTCCCTTTTCGAGTCAAAGTCCCACTATGGAGCCCGTCCTTTGTCTGCCAGTTCATTGGCCCATTTCCCACTTTATGTTGGCCAGCTGCAGCAGCCAAAATGCAAATGAGCAGCTCTGGATCTGGTTCTGATTCGGATTCTGGACACTGGACATTGGACTTTGGGCCCTCGACTCTGGCCAGTGGCCAAAAGGGAAAGGGGCCGAAAGCGAGGAAGCCGAACAAAAAGCATTAAGCGGAGTGTGGCCAACTTTAAACGAACCGAAAACCGAGTGCCGACAGCATATCCCGACCCACTGCGTTTGTTATATTTTATTTACTAAGTGCAAATGTTGTTTGCAGTCATTGAAATTGAAACAAATATATATACAGGCACCGCCAGCACATAAAACCAAAAAATAAGAACCCAAAAAACGAAGAAAAACCAGAGCACACACACACACACCAGAGGCAAAAAAGAGACAGCGGAAAAGCCTAAGCCATTTGTAGCCCTTTTGTGAGTGAGGCAAACACGCAAACTTAGCTGCCTCATCATGCCGCCATTAATGTGCATGTGTGTGGGTGTGGATGTGGACATTGGTGTGCGTATATATCTGTGTGTAAAAGTTATAGTAAAAGCGAGACGCACGTATTTTAATATGTGCCCCAAAGCAGAAGAAAAATCGCACGTACGTGACTTCATTTGCTCTGCTCTGTCCCAATGCCTCTGGCCTCTACTGTCCCCCGCCACTGTGCCTCCTCTTTTTCGGCCAGAGTTGCCATCGATCGTTAGTCCTGCCAAACGGGATTGCCAGCCGCGGGATGTCCGGGAATTATTTGTCACTAATTTGCAATTATAAAGCCCTTTTGAGGGCTCTGGCCACCGATTAAATGTGTCGCAAACTGTGCTTTTATTCGGCTTCACAAAGACTTTGCCTGTTTTTTAATTGTTCCATGATTAAAATAAATTCTGTTATGGTAAGTCTTAACACCCACTAAATGGGTCCATTCAGCTCACGCAAAAAAGTATTTAATTTAGCGTAACAGAACAGTTTATTGGCAATTATTTATCACACTCAGTCATAATCAATGTACTTTCCTACATTCGGACTTTCGGAGAATATTTCGGAATTTTCTTTTTGATCAAATTTTAATTTCTGACAATCTGATTTTCTTCTCTCCCGGAATATCTTTTTTAACTTCATTTAGAATTTTTTGACAAACAGACTTTTTATTTGGACTATCAAACTTTTTTATGATCTTTACTTATGGACTTTATTTTGGAACTGCATATTTTCGGACTGACCTTTCGGACTATGCTATTTTTATTCGGCTTAGCTTACATTTTGCTGTCTTTTTTTAGCCATGACTGCAAATTAAGACCGACATGAACTCTAGGAGTCACCGAATTGACTTGTTTCCCATCCGCACCTCACACACGAATATGATTTTCCCGTGTCCTGTCTGCTTCTATTCTGGTCCTTTGGCCCCCTGCCAATTCATCCTGTTAACCTATTCCCGCCCATACCCAGTGTTATCCCAGTTGGGCAAGGACGAATCAATAGCGTCTGGCTGGCTGATTCGCTGTCTGTGGGCACTCGTGCGTGTGACACATGTTTTAATTAATAAATGCCATTGTCAAATCACCTGACATTAGGCCAGGACGGCAGAGGTCCTGAAAAATGCGCCTCATAAGTTATTGGAGATGAAGAAAAACAAAAAGCAGGAAAACAGGAAAACAGGAATACAGGAAGAAAGGACTAAAGGACTAATGTTAATGCTACCGGACCCTACAAGATTAGCATCATTATGCCAGAAACAGTTGCACGCCTACCAGCTATTGCTCTCCCTATAGAATAGATATATATAGTATATACATATATTTGTCTAATAACAACAACAATCATGCCTAATGCTGATGATGATGGGCACGCACTGAAAGCAAATCAAACGCAGAGCTCGATAAACCAAATTGGGGGAATATAGAGGAGATATTAGTGTGTGTATGTCGCACGTAACGAATAAATGGCCGAAAAGTAGGCAACATTGCGACTTTCCCAACTGCATAGCCCCCTCTTTTAGCCCCATTCCATTCCATCCCCTTGAAACGAATGTATCTTTTTATTTGCACAACATTTACATGATGTGCTTGCGGATTTTATTTATTTATTTTGGTGGCTCGCCTCCTTTCGGTTTTTCGGTCTTTGTTGGGCCCAAAGTCGCCTGAACTGGGCGCTGAGCTCATTAGGGCCATATAAATCAAGCGATGTATTTATTTTTATTTATGAACCGCAGCTGTGACGCCTCACACAGGGGAGGGGGGCCAGAGGCGGGTTTTGGCCAATTTAGTGGCCAAAAACAAATTGTTTTAGATTTGTGTGCCCTACAAAATGGGCCCACTGCATCCGCACACTAATTGGAAACTATTATGAAAGATACTCTGAACTCTGCTCCAAACTTTCAGATAATACTATGTGTTCTAAAATTAAAATAAAAAGGCATTTAATAAGCGGCTTGAAGGGAAAAACTTCCAGCTCATGTTTCTTATTCACGGAATTATTACGGGCCGAACCGCATAATGAGTGTCCTTAGCTTGCGGCCATAAAATATACATGCATATATATCCCCTGGCCCTCACGTACATAAACCTATATGTTTGGCCAAAAATCGATTATTTAAAATAATAAACGTGAAAAATGCTGAAATTGTTCGCACATGAAGCAATCAGGCCCGCGAAACCCACAAACAAACCCATAACAAACAGACGGATATCAGGGGTTTAAGGTGCAAGAAGGATGGGCGGATATTGAAGGAGGGCTATGTGAAAAATACATAGACCATCGAACAGCCGTACAGTTGATTGAATATTTGCGCATCGTAATCATTGAAATGTATGGCATTCCAATTGACGTGAAAGGTACAACAACAGTCATAAAAAATAATAAAAACAAAATGGGTTCGGTACGAAGGATAAAGCCACGTGTTTTAAATATGATTTGGTGGATTTATTTCCTCAATTTGCATTTGCGGCTCATTAATTTTATATGCTTGCTGGGGAGTACAAATAGGGATAATCAAAAGACGGCTCAAATTGGCATCAATCATATTTATAATATATAATATATCAAATACCCAAAGCTCTTTGCTAATTGAATTTCTTTAATTGCCAAAATATATCTCTCCACCCCCCTTTATTGATTACGAATCCTACATAAAGTGCTTAAGCAGCAAATGTATATGCCGCAAATCTAGAAAATATTTAAATCGTACCACAAAATGTAAATTAAATGGCCTTTCATGTGGCATAATAAACTCATTCGATCCAGCTTTCCCCGAAAAACTGTCTGTATCATATCTATGGTGAAGACCTCTTGGCACCTGCAAGACAAAAAGGTTTGATTTATGCGATTACCAGACGAGAGGCCATAACTTTGTCATGACGGGAATGTCTCTCGATTTCTTTTCGGCCTCTTGGTGTCGGCCTGCTGATAGTGTTTTGTATTTTTGGGCCTCCACCTCCTAACTGAAATCCTGGCCCAAAAACAGACTGACACACACACACACTGGCTGCGATAAAAACTCGGACCACGCAGGAGACAGTTAACCAACCTCAAAGGGCATGTACGTAGGCCCCATCTCTGAGCCCGGCTGACAGTTGTTCAAAGTTATGCCGCTGTAGTTGTAGCCATGTATGTATAGCCAGATGACATTCACCAGATATAAGGCTCACACACACACTTGTAAGCCAAGCTGAATATGACGACGTTCTTTTTTTTTTTGTGGGCGAAAAAGTTTCGCTTCTCTCCTTTTTTTTCTGTGCTTTTTGGGCGGCAGCAAAAAAGGACACAAGTAATTGAATTTCAATCGCAAAACCCGCCCCCACCACACACAGACAGCAATTGCCTGTGCATATGTATTTGCCGTACACAAAGTGAAACGACAAACAACTCGTAATGCGGAATTTTCATATTAAATCCGCTTTTCAACAGCCGCTCAAATACCCTCGAAGCCAGCGAGTATGTGTATTTTGCGCATCTTTTCGAGTGAGTTGAAAATAATGGCAATTTAATTCAGGGTCACTAATTTTTCTGCCACATCGCACAAGAAGACCGCACCATCCGCACCATCCATCCTCGCCATTCTGGGAGTCAAGGCGATGCGAAAACCCAACATTGCTCATACGCCACGTTGACAGCTTAGCCCATGAATGCGTATGTGCGCGTGTCTCGGCATTACTGGCTGACTTCTTAAGCTGTTTAATCTAATGTAGCGCTACGCTGACACTCCAGGCCATCGGACTGAAAGCCAAACACCAGCAGCAGCCACTTTTAAGCACTTTGAAACTCATTTCCTACCCTCAGCCACATTGACATGCACACAACTATGCGTGGGTAGGTGCCCCTTTTTCAGTGTGTGTGTGTGGAGATTGGGGTGATTCTTTTTAAAACAGCCAAAAACATTTATCACAGAAATCAGAGTTTTCGAAATCATTTACATATGTGCCTGAGAGTATGCAACAATATATTTCATTTCGATTAATTAAGTTCATTTTTTGATTGCATACTTTTGGTACCTTAGAGTTTTTTAATAACATAATTTTTCAATTTTGATAATCCTAATAAAATTCTATAATCAAATATGTTATTCTGTTTTTCTAAT